TCGACCACGTATACTTGCGTGTGCGTTTGGGAGCAACAATGGTCCTTGGTTTCCTTGGGTATTGTCATTAACATTTGACATGGTTGTTGATGTAACAAAAAAGGTTAGGTTAAGAAAGAATAGATTATCAGATTCCCGATAACAGAACCAATTTGTTTAACCAAAAAATAGAATTTCGATCAAAGCTTTATTTTAGAAGAACTCGGGCTACTGATAACCAAAGAAATGAATAATAGAAATTGATTTTGCTAATAATGAAATGAATAAAGGAAAGCAGAATAAATCAGTTTATTCCAATAGTGTTTCGTGTCCCTACAAATACCAGACTTCTCCTTTTTATAGCTATCTCTAAGATATACGTTTTGTCTTTGTCATAATAAGGCCATTATAGACAATTAAAGACATTAAATGCTGCGTTACACAACTATTGTAATTTAATGTAGATTCTCTAATGTTTCTGGTATTTAATGCTTATTAAATACCGTATTTGTACTCTCTTGTGTTGTCAGATTCATTCTCCCTAATTTTGAATATAAATAGGTACGAGCGTCGAGCCTTTTGGATATCTGCCCGTGCCTCTGCTTGTGTTTCTGCTCGTATCCATTGTAATCCGTGCCTCTTTGCTAATCACACTCTTTGACCAGCCTTCGTATCATGACATTTCACTTTTTAATGAATTTAATATACATAAACTCAATTTTTCCCAATACACTTATTTATCGGCTTGACAATAATTTTCTTTTTTAAAAGCAAGAAAAAGAAAAATAATTCGGGAAATGAAGGGAAAAAGATAAAATACAAAATAGAAAACCAAACTTTGGGATTTTACTTGATCCCACCAAAAAAAAAAGATGAATAATAATAAGAGAGAGATTGGTCCTTCAGATCTGTTTGTTTGTGAGAGTGGGTGTCTAGAATTTTTGACGAAGAAATTGTGATGTACAATAGTAACAAACAAATGGAATCAGCAATTATATATGGCGATTAACACATATATGTTGAAAGAGTTATCCAATTGTTTATGGATAGCAAGATATCAAGTAGTATAATAGATACCAAGTAGTATAATAGAGACGTGGTATATTAGTCCGAACATTATCATAAGAAGAAAAAAAAAATACTTTCGTTAGACAGTTTTTTACCAAAAAAGAAAATGGAGAGAAATCTAAAAAGAAAACTTACTGACTTAAAAAGAAATTTTACTTGTCGAACCAATAAACAATCCAAAATAGAAAAAGAAAAAGTCTCACTTTCTTCTTTATTTTCCATATTTCCATTTTCCCTTCTGCTCTCGTCTCCTCCGATCCCCTACGTCCAAACAATGCCTAATCACTTAGTATCACGAAACCAAGCATGATTGGGTGGGTGAATCAAGATATGCCTAGTTTCTGTTGTCTCTTATATTTTGTAATCTAGTTATCCACATAGTTTAAGGAGGCATATTGCATCTAATTAAAATACAATTCCTACATTGTTTCTCAATCATATCTTCGGCCTTTCATCTATCAAATGTTGATGAGACAATAACTTCTTAAGGCTAATCATAGAGTTTATATAATTGACCCAAAAAGAACTTTTGCATAATTAATAAAATTAAAAGATAGTACCTTGTCTATTTTGGTCATACTCCTCTATCAGCTTGGATTAGATAGGGTGGGCACGGAACAAACATTGACTGTATCCAAGTGCGGATCTTGCGGATTCATGTTGTAGCGAGGGTGGCGCACGTCACCCCGCTTCGGTATTGAGGAGTATGCCGCAACTTTATTCTAGAAAGAAATAGTTTTATGGCCATACAATTATAGTGAATAATAAAGCTCAAAATTAGTGACGACACATATAATTTAATATATTTTACTAGATGTCAAACTATTACTAAATCAACATCAAGCATTTTGACCCCACAAAAAAAAAAATCAAACTGACATGCTTAGAAAGGTGAAATTTGTTGGGCTAAAACGGCCCGTAGATACTCACCGCTTAATAATGTAAAAATTGCACAGGGTACCTTATTTGGTCGCCTCCCATATAATCTATACCTATTTTTTTTTAAAGTTTTAACTTGTACCTACTTTTTAAACAACTTCAGCCCCCTTTCTCCCCCTCCTCCTCCTCCTCCTCCTCCTCCTCACCCCCCAAACTTACTTGACGAGGAATCCTTTCTCGCGAACAAACACAACCCCTACACACACCTAGGAGCACCCCTTCCTGCATATCCATACAAGACCCGAGTAGGCGGGTCGAGGTCCTACGAGGTACCCACTACTCGGAGTACCCTCCCAAAAGGAAAAAGATTCTTCTTCTTCTTCTTCTGCTGCTGCTGCTGTTGGTGTTGCTATGAAACTTCAGTTCATGGGATGATTGCCATAAGTATATTTATCAGATTGTTTAAAAATAAATTATAAATAATTACGTAAGTTAGTAGACAATAATTTGTTCCACGTACGGAAAGTTTTAAGGTCACACTTAGTGATTCTTTTCATGATAATTCTGTTCTTTTCACGTTATTGTTTCCAAAATTTATGATTTAGATACTGTTGGTAATCTGATTATTTTATAGTAGTAATACACTATGAAAGAATAAGGTGATTATTTATCTAGTATGTTAGAAAGCTTTTTCAAAAACTTCAGCTTATATAGTGCTGAAGTTTTTATAAATGAACTAAATAACTTCAGCATCTTCTGCTGAAGTTTTTGAAAAAGCTTTATGACACAACTAATGAATCCATGACAAAAAAAACTTCAGCTTATTTAGTGATGAAGTTTTTACAAATGAAAAAATGAACTAAATAATTTCAGCATTTTCAGCTGAAGTTTTTGAAAAAGCTTTATGACAAAACTAATGAATCTAGGACAAAAAAACTTCAGCTTATTTAGTGCTGAATTTTTTACAAATGAACTAAATAACCTCAGCATCTTCTGCTGAAATTTTTGAAAAAGCTTAATGACAAAACTAATGAATCCAGGACAAAAAAACTTCAGCTTATTTAATGCTGGAGTTTTTACAAATGAACTAAATAACTTTAGCATCACAAAACTTCAGCTACTAGAATGCTTAAGTTCAGCAATTACAAATAAAAACTTCAGCAAATAGAGAACAATACTTCAGCACTAGAATGTTTAAGTTCATCAATTACAAACAAAAACTTCAGCACACTTGGTTCAGCAATTTTTGCTACTTCAGGCCCGTCTACTAGAATGCTGAAGTTTGCGTGATTGCCTTTGTTACTTCAAGCCCGTATGTTGAAGTTACAAGAAAAAGTGGGTGCGCTTGCAATTTTTTTTTTTTATGCAAAGCGGGTACAAGTTAAAACATGACCCAAAAAGCGGGTATAGATGCAAATGCCCCTGTGATAGTGCGCTTTGGGCCAAGGTCGCACGGTTTCTCCACAAGGACTCACACCAATAAGAAATTCCTACACCTTATATGTAGGCTACCAATCTTTTCATCTATCAATGTTTACTTTATTCGCGTATCCAACAATCTCTAGCAAAAGGATGTCTAAGTTCCACGTGACTTATCACCAAGATCCACATGTCTCCCCTCAAACCAAGTTCTACGTGGCCTATTACCACGATCCACTGGTTAGTTTTCAAGATTCATTATGTGACACCTACATCGTCGGAGTATTTATGGTAACCGAAACCCGCGACTAGCTTTTTCTCGTTTGCGCGTCGCAAGCTTGTAAGGAAAAGCAAACCGAGTCCTGCAGTATCACTCAACCATCACCATACTCGTCCCGTCGAACCTATGCTCTGATACTAATTGTTGGGATAAAACGACTCGAAGATACTCTTAACATGGTGTCACATTATTCGCTATGGGCCAAACCTGTATGATTTTCCAAAACGATCACACACTATTAAGATATATGGAGGCTCACGCTCTTTTCGATCACTAATGTGAAGCTTATTTGCACAACCAGCAAAATTAAATGAATCGACCACTTTATTATCTCGGTCAAATAACTTCTTTTGTTGGTAAAAGGCAATCGAAGGACAGCATGAAAACCCTATAGGAAAATGGCTGAACGGGGAAGGAAAAAGAAAAGGGGAATTATCAACTCACCTCTTTAAGTGGAACAAGATACTCATCAAAGCTTTGAAGAGATATAATTTCTCTCGACAACTTGATTAGGAATTTCAATGAGAGAACACCATACGATAAAGTATTTTAACACACACTGCAATATAAAAAATGAATAAATAAAGAGTAGACTGATTTTTCATGTGAAATTCCTAAAACATGAATAGAAAGAATGGGGGTGGGGATGAGAAGGTTAATATTTTAGTGGAGGATGAAAGGATAAAAGATTGGAGGTTTAAAATAGATTTTAGTCTAAGCAATGGCACTTCAATCCCTTAAAAAATTATATTGCTTTTGGTCAACATGTTAGAAGAATTTAACTCATCCAAAAATGTGTGGTAAAATCATACCCAATATCTTAATAGGTATATTTCCGTCGTACTCTTAGATGAAAGTCCCATCATAAATAGTTATAATTTTCTTGAAATAATTTCCCAAACCTTAAGATGGAAAAAACCAAATATAAAGGACAAATAAGAAACCCTATACATTTACATACTAAACCTAGAGGCACAACGAAGGGAAAGATGAAACAGGATCAGTACTAAGGGGTCGTTTGGTACATGGATAAGAATAATAATCTCGAGATAAAGTTTTGTATTAACTTTATCACATGTTTGGTTTGGGGTATTAGTTAACCCCGAGATAGCTTTTACACTAAAATGGTGGAATTTGGATAACTAATCCCATAGGATATTCCACCCCTTGAAATATCCCAATATTGTACCAAACAACCCCTAATATTAGTAGTAAAACATAAGTTTTTAGCACGCAATATCAACGTTAGAGACGAATGGAGCATCGATTCAGTATATTCAATTAAATTCAAAATATTTTTCAGAGCGCATATGATATATATACATAAAATTCTAATAAATATCAAAATTTCAAATGCATAATTTCAAAAGTGCATCAAATTTATTGATAAGAACATCAAAACAATATCGCTAGCACATGATACATCTCCTAAAATAAATTATCCAGTGCAGCATTATTAAACATGATATTGTCGAAAAGACAAGACATATGAGCAGGATATCCCGTTCGACGTGCCAATGCCAATGATCTTGGTAGCTCAATCATCAATTTGGTAAATTTTTTCTTGATTGCATCATAAGTAAAAAATGTGCCCTCCATCTTCTGACGTTCAAAGCAAAGAAGTAACAACTCACCACTAGGAAAATTCCCAATAGGTGTTGCTTCATCAAAGTATTTTTGTACTTCCTTTGGTAAGTTGATAGTAACCTTTGTCCACAAAGTTTTCTCATGATTTTCTAATACCCAAATGTCCAAAATCCAAGGATCATATGATGGAGTATGTGTATAAGATAGTGCTAAGTTGCCCCCATATTGACCAAATCTTCTTGTTGGGGCCAATCTTGGAAGTTCTATAGTGGTGAAATTTTCTTTGTGGACATCAAAAGCAACAATCTCGTCACTTGTTCTCTCTGTACAAAACTTCCAAAAGATTACACCATTTACATAGTAACTTTGACCCTTGACACAAGAAAATTTAGACAAGTAATATGAAACATCTATTTCCCTCCATTTCAATTTCGAGGTCAAACTTGTCTCCAGAGTGAGGATCTCGCAAACCAATTCATACTCATTGTCGCAAACCAATCCATACTCATCGTAGCGATTTCTGTAGCGATAGGGGTGAGGCTCATCTGGCTTTTGAATGAGGCAGAGTTTAAGCAATTTATAGACGTTGTCTATAGGATCAAAACCAAGTGCGTACCATATTCTACGAGTTAATTCAAGATTTAAACTTGACAAGGGAAGGTTCATAACCTCACACGTAGAAATATGAAAAAGTGAAACTTTATGGTCCATGTAAAGGCAAACAAGTCCATTTACAACAGGAGTAATATTTTCGTAATCCAAATAGGGCAAACTTACTTGATGAACAAATGTTTCCTGAAAAGTAGAAACAAAATCAACATATAAGCAATGAGTCTAACCAGACATACGAATAATGTTAGTTTTGGACATGCTATTTCAGGTGATAAGCTGTTTGTTACACAATATTATAATTTGATCCCAATAAAATCTATGTACCATGATAAATGTAAAACTCAATTAAAAAGAGATGCATTCACCGCATTTAAATCTTGAATTTTATTCTCGAGCCACAATGGTATACGAATCGTCGCGCAAAAGAGGCCGCCTTTCTTTGAATTCGATGGGAGGGCGCAAATATCATCCGACGAGACATTTAGGAGTATGCGCCGTAAGGCCTATGCTGGAAAATCATTGAGGACCAAGATGTCGATACACACTTAAATCTGTCCAAAGATTTAGTGGGTAAATAAGTTAGAATTTGAAGCACAATTTCATATGGGATTTCTTTAACTTTCTCCATCTTCTTCTATTCTACTTGCACGACTAGTGGATGTAGATATATATGTCAAAATCACTAAATTTTGGACAAATATTATATTCGGTTCGGAACTCAAATCTTAGGCGCTGTATGACCCTGTGGTTTCTCTTGGATATATTCTCAATTATTCTAGATCGAAATTTTGTGTATCTCCGATCCTCTTAATATAAAGGAAAACATAGGAAGTTTTATACCGACTAGGATTTCAAGGGTGGCGGCTTAACTTCTAGTGGTAAAGTTATATAGGACATAAACCTAGTTTTTTTTCTTCTCGTTTTAATTAAGGAAAGAAAAAGAAGGGTAAGTTCAGGAGGAATAAAGAAGATAATATCACCAAAAAAGTAGCCTATTCTTTCGTTTTTGATTGACATCATATATATTTCGATTCGCCAAGCAATATCCTTTTTTTTCAAATAATCAAAAACACCAATTTACATAAATCATTTAGACAAGAAATTCTGATATTGTTGTAAATAATAATAATAATAACAATAATAATAATAATAATAATAATAATAATAATAATAATAATAATAATAATAATAATAAAGAAGTGTATATCTATGCCTTATTCCTTATATATCGAGCCTTAACAGAAGAAGTATCAAGAAAAAAAGAAGTTACATTTTTTTCCTAAAAGAAAGCAATTACGCACCTTTTATTCTTGGAGAACAAGTTTTGATGAATAGTCCTTATTTTTTAATCCAAGAAAAACTCTCTTACGTTAAGGCTCACACTATACTCGTATTGCTTGTCGTAAATACGTTCTCTTATTAATTCGTTTTTACAGAACAAAGAATTTAACATTATTAATATTACGTATCTTTCTCGTAATCTTTTCTGTAAAAAGTTAAATTTAATATTTTACAGTGATTGATACTCCATTATATACGTGTAGGCGTATAAAAGTTTTGAAATTAATTCATCAAATATTTTGGGGTATATTAGTCCAAAAAAAACATTATAAACTAATATAAGTGGATTAATTACTTAAGTCGAATTAATATAGATATATTGAAATGCATTGGGCAAGTCCATTTGATTGGCCTAGAAACTGTCACCTATCAAATGACGTGGCATGAAAAACCAAATGGAAGAACCAATATGGTCATGCCACATGTCAAAAAGGATAAGGTATGCCAAGTCAAATCAAAGCTAATGAAAGCACGCTAGCATACATATGATATGTTTTAGCCAATCAAATGGGCCTTGTCAACACTTCACTTTGATTGGTCCATGATTCAAGTCAACCAATCACATCACACAACTACACTCTTCCCACAACTAAAAATATGAGTCTTCATAACTAAGAAATGGGACCAGAAGTCATAACAAAAAGCAAGAGAGAGTCCGTGGATCAATGCACAAATTTCTCTACAAGCTTCGAGTTTCAAGCAATTAAGTTTAAGTTCAAGAAATCAAGTTCAAGCTCAAAACGAAGAACAAATCAAGATTCAAGGAGTACAAGTTCAAATCAAAGTTCGTGCTAGTTGAATTCAAAATCACCGTTCGGGGAAACAAGCATAAATTCAAGATCAAGCTCAAAAGTCCTTGAATTATTTTAGAAGAAGAATAAAAGCGTTCATAGAGATTGTACACTCATATTACCTTAAATCAAATACTACAATCGTTGCAATATTTTTTTGTCTTGATTATATTTTCTTGACGCCAGTTATTTAAATCCAATTAATATGGATATATTCAATACATTGGGCTAACCCATTTCATTCCGCTATAAATGATGAGCCCACTTTATTAAGACCAAGATGCCATCTTATCTAAGAGGTATAAGTTGGTTCGACGTGTCAAATGATGTGGCACGCCAAGTCAAATGGAAGAGCCAATAGGGTCATGCCACCTGTGAAAAAAAGACAAGATATGTCAAGTCAAATCAAAGGCCAATGAAAGTACGTCCACGCGTACATGTGACATGTTTTAGCCAATCAAATGCGACATTGTCACTACTTCGATTTGATTAGTTAATGATTCAAGTAAACCAATCAAATCATACAGTTACACCTCTCCCACAACTATAAATAGAGGGTCTTCATAATTCAAAAAGTGGAATAAAAGTTATTATAAGAAGCAAGAGAGATCTCATGGATCAGACACCGCAAATTTCTCAACAAGCTTCAAGTTTCAAGCTATCAAGTTTAAGTTCAAGAAATCAAGTTCAAGCTTAAGAACAAAGAATAAATCAAGGTTCAAGGAGTACGAGTTCAAATCAAAGTTCATGCTTGTGGAATTGAAAATTATCATTCCTCAAAACAAGCAATAAATTCAAGATCAAACTCAAAAGTCCTTGAATTTATTTTAGAAAAGAAGAATCAGAGGATTCCTAGGAATTGTACACTCATATTAGTTGAAATCAAATACTACGATTGTTGCAATATTTTTTGGTCTTAATTATATTTTATTGATACAAATTTATTGTCTACAAATTCTAGCACGATCGGCAGGGCCATATCTACCTCTCATCAGAACTTTTCAATCACCAAAATTCACGAACATCAAAATGGCTTTAAGGAGAATCAACTCTAATTCAACTTCCGCTAAGGCAGTTAATTCTATACTGATATGGAAAATATCTTTGACGTACCTTTGAAAGCCTTGTACCAATTACAAGGAACAAACACTGCTGAAAAATTGGCTTACGGTAACGCATGAAAACCCATTCCCACAGACCATATAACCGTTGCCATAGAGATATTGGAACGGTTTACAGACCGTTCCATCAGCCTCTGTGCCAATAGGTCTATGGGAACGGTTCTTGCAACGTTTCCATCACTGTGGTTATAGATATGTCTATCGCAACGGTTTTCCCTTTCTCTGTTGGAACGATTATTTTTTCCAATTGGAACGGTTTAAAACTGTTCCTATATTATGTATGCAACGGTTCTTAACCGTTACCATATTATTTAATGGAACACTTATGTAAGCTATTGTTACGGTTATGCATGGATATAACAACGGTTTCTTTAAGCTATCACAACGGTTTTATTTTTTTGGAACAGTTTATAAATCATTTTGGAACAGTTTATAGGATCTATTGCAACGGTTTGTATTTTATAATGGAACGTCATTGTGTCCTGTTGCAACGGTTCTGGTAGGGTATCGTAACAGTTCAGTTAAAACAAAAATATAGCACTTGTTATTAATAAATATTTATATATATAATAAATTATAATAACACTAAAATTTAAATAAATCATAAAATGAAACTATTAATAATATAATTTATCCATCAAGCAAATAGTTAATATCCATAAAGCAAATGTTCTATCCCAAATACATAAGTTTAATACATTTCAAGAGAGTAAGTTTCAAAAATATGGATAACAAAAGATTCCTATAGAACATTCATCTATAGCAATTCAAAATTCATCTCAAGTAAGGTCTAGTTCTTCACTTCCATCATCTTCTTCTATTTCTTGATCTACTCCACCTACAAAAGAGGATAAATAAAGCCATTACTCTTCACGAGAACTACTCGTTTCAAAACCAAACATGGATTTTTTGATATAATTCAACATAATCTAAAAAATGTCAAAAACATGAATTATTTAAAAAATTAGACAAGCTAGGCCATGAATTAACTCTAATCTTCTTTACTTTTCATTTCATCATATATAAGAATAAAAGACAGTTCATTCTTCAGTTCTGATGAATGTTCATGGTAATTTTAGCAACCTCAATTGTTTCTATTAAGACATACATGTTGTAGTCCAAGGCATACCTCTTGTCCAAGTTTCAGACATAGTAATTCGAATAGAAGTTCTGACTATCTCTATAAGAAATTAAAATAAGATAAAAGGATCATATATAGCAGATCATGAAGAGAGTTCATTCTTCAGTTCTGAAGACAGAACTTGGTACAAAATTCACCTCCTAATGTGGAGTGAAGAAAGCACTGAACTCACCTAGAAAAATGATAATCAACTCTTAAATAATCTCAGAATCGAAAATCAACGAGAAAATCCAACTATTATCTTCCAAAGTTCAAATCTTTGCACTAAATTCAACCGACAGAGACCCAATTCACTAGATTATATCCATAATAAAAACCAATCATCTCTTTGATGGAAAACAATTCAATCCTAAGAATCAAAATTGAAAAACCATAAAGAGCAGCACAAAAACTAGTAAACTACAACAGTCCAACCAAACACCTACCAAACAGAGGCAACTTAATACCAAACATCATAAACGAGTAAATTACAGCAGTCCAACCAAACACTTGCCAAACAAAAAAACTTAATATCACTACCAGTTAACAAATACCACTGCCAACACATAAAGAGCAACACAACAAATTGAGGTAATCTTTTTGACACTCTGATTTTGTGGTCTATCTCTGATTGAGGTAATCCATCATTATCACGGGAGTCTGTAATGTTTTGACTTCGGAAATGTCCAAATCATGATATTCAAATTCACTGACCTGGATATTCTGGAAAATTTTGAGAACTGTATATTTGGCAAAAGAAATCTTAAGACTTTCAACTACAATTTGTTTCAGCATAGGAACTTAGAATTTATTTAAAAGCTATTACTGCAAGACAAAATTTTCCATTTTGGTTTTGGTTCCTTTTTGGATAACTTCTAACTCAATATAAATCAAACAAAGATCTTTCTGCAACTTTTGTAATCTTTGCGAATGCCATAGGCAAAGTAAATAACTATTGAGACTTTGTGAGAGAGAAAGAGAGAAGTGGTAGAAGAAGAAGCACAAGGAAGGAGGAGAAGAAGAAGAAATAGAAGAAGATATATAATATTTGGTAAGTACTGACCTTGATTGTTACTACCAGCATATGGTCGATTGTTTAGTTGAACAGCAGCTTGTTGTGCAGAGGAAGCTTCTACGAACCTTAGCATGTCAGGATCAAGTTGCAATAGGGTTCAGACGCTGAAGTCGTGCGATGCCGTTCATTGTAATATATTGTTCCATAGCATCCTTTTGTTCGTTCAACTTTTCCAGCATTCTTTGTTGCATCCTCTCTTCCATTTCCTCCATTTTATGCTGCATCCTCTCATCAGCAGCATCAGAAGAAGATCCAAGATTTCCTATTTTCCCTTTTAAGACGGTCTTGGTAACCCCTCAT